TTTTTTTTTGGTGAGGCAATCGGTGTTAAGTGACTTGCCCAGGGTCACACAGATAGTATGTGTCAAATGTCTGAGGTCAGATTTGCACTTAGGTCCTCCTGACTCCAGGGCCCACATTCTATTCACTGTGCTACCTACCTGCCCTTCTGGGTAACTTTCTAAGAATTTAAGTTGCAGAGAATGTACTGAACTGAATTGGTAGAGAAAGTTTCCTGACTTTGGAGTTCCATATGCTAATGAAACCACAGGTGAGGTCCTTTCTCCATCCATGGAACTGATAGTCTCTGCACCATATGTTTGTAATCCACTTGGTTTCTATGTGAATTAAAAGGCTGATCTGCCATGTGTCTCAATGAAAAGACCCTCTAGTCATCCATGGTTGGATGGATTCTTAGGTATCGGGATATCATCCATCATCTATCTGTAGCAGAGGTTCTTAACCTGGGGTCGATGAACTTTAAAAAACCTTTTAAAAAGATAATTGTACTTTAATGTAACTTGTTTCCTTTGTAATCCTAGGTATTTTATTCTATGCATTTAAAAACACTTTTGCGAGAAGAAGCCATAGGCTTTACCTGACTGTTCTGTGTCCATAACCAAAAAAAAGTTGATTTATAGGAAGAATGTCAATAATGATGTGGTTCAATCCTCTAGCAGAGTATGAATTCACTGGTCATTGGACTGAGATTTCACATTTAAAATGGCTACCAGTTAAATTAATGTATATAACTGATCTAGGAACTTTGTGATTCTTAGTGCTTTCTTTCCCCCTTTCCAACACTGTGCCATTGTCATTGGGCTGTGCAGAGCCCAAAGCCATTTTTTCAATTTTTTATCTATTTCATAGGTCACCAGAGGCAGAGAATTCATCACTTCATGGCTAGTCGTCTGGTCATGAACCTCTCTTTACTTAGCTGAGTTGGTCCTTGGATAATAGACCCAATCTGTTGATGTGTCCTTAATAAAATAATTTCTAGCTTGGTAAAACCTGCCAGAGCTTCTATTCCACCGGCATGGACTTTGAGAACTTGGTGTCATCTCTATACCTTGATGAGACATCAGAGGAGGATTAAAGTGGAGACTGCCTTTCAGACAGATGCAATTTCTTGGCTAATACTCTAGAGAGGAAAATGCCTCTAGCATTAAACATTTTCTTTTAAAAACATTTTTATTGATGTCTTTTTTTTTTACGTAACATATACTTCCCAAAATATGTCTCTGTCCTCCTCCCTGCCCTGAACTGTCTCTTTTAACCAAGAAAGAAAAGAAGAGGAAATACTAACCTAAATATTGAAAAAGTCTGACATAATATACAGTGTTTCACACCCATAGACCCCAACCTCTGCAAAGAATGGGGAGAAATGCCTTCTCATGTATCTTCTTTGAGGACAGTCTTCGTCATTATAGTCTCACTCTCCAGGTTGTTTTGTTATGGATTTTCTTTCCATTTACATTGTTGAAGTCCTTGTGCATAGAACTGCAATTTCATTACAGAAACATTCCCTTTTCTGATCATGTAGCTCACTAGAGCTCTGGGGAACACATGAGAAATTCTGCTTTAAAGAATTCAGAGCAAGAGAATATTAGCATGGACAGTGATTGTAGAGGAGAAAAAGTTGTGTATTATTTTACAAAATATCAGGTTCATTCCAGCATTCCCAATATTATTACATTAACTTTCTTGTTTGACCTTTGATTGGGATGAACTTTGGTCACTTACCAGTATTGCTGGGATCATAGGATTGTAGGTCAAGTTAGAGGGGACCTCAGAGGCCAACTAGAGCAGTCCCCTCATTTTATAGATGTGGAAACTGATGCCCAGGAAGGGTTAATACCTTGCCTATTGACTAATAAGTTACTAAAGCACCTATCTTGTGAAAGTTTTTTTTTTCTAAAAATAGCATAAATCCCCCCCTTTAATTGGTGAAGTGATGGACTATGGGGGTAGAACGTTGTGTCAGTTGCTTTGTGTAATTTTTAAAAATTGGTCTTGTTGCAATGGAAGGCTCATTAATGGGGTGATGGGTAAGGTGTGCACAAAGGGTAGATCTAGAAGAAAACTGATATAAAAACAAATGTATTAACAAAATATTTTAAAAGGA